GTTTTGCTCACTTGTTCAGTTTTGCTCACTTGCTCTTTTTTGTTCACTTGCTCAGTTTTGGTCTTTTTGTTCACTTGTTCAGTTTCTCTCTGGGGTTTTTGGCATTTTGCATACGGTCATACAGGAAATCAGCTGTTTTCTCAGAGCGCGCAAACCTGTTCATTCTTCCGTTTATTGTTTCAAATACTCAATAAGATGTCCGCTAGAAAATATAGCGAAATTTGGAGCCATTTTGAGGATTTGGGAGACCTGCAGGCCAAGTGCAAATATTGCAAAACAACACTGAGCTGCAAGTCGCAAAGCAATTTAAGCAGACACCTTAAGAACAGGCATCCGGCCGCACTCGAGCCCGTAGTTCGGCAAAACGAAGAGGAGCAGGATGCAATTGCTGTAAAAAGTGCGCAGCCAAAAATAACCACATTTGCTCAGAGGCCTGTTTCGCAAAACAAAATGCATTGCCTTGATACGCAGGTGGTTCGCATGATTGCCAAAGGTCAACACGCTTTGCGATTGGTGGATGAGCCGGATTTCAAAAAATTAATTTCGGATGTTTCCAATTGCCCGGGTTATAGCCTAACGAACCAATGTGTTAATTCCAAAACTACGCGATGAAGTTATGGAAAAAATTTTGGAAAAGCTTCGTGAGGCAACAGCGGTTTGCCTGACCACAGATGGATGGACATCCCTAACAAATGAATGCTATATGGCCGTCACTGTGCATTTCATTGACAAAGAGTCAACAAGCCTTTGCTCATACATTATAGCTTGTCGATCATTCCCACTAAGGCACACTTCGGAAAATCTTTGCGCATTTTTGGAAGCAATCATCCTGGAATGGAATTTAAAAAATAAAGTGGTGGCGAAAACTTCAGACAATGCAGCAAACATTGTTAAAGCCATTCATAATGGCAATTGGAATCATATTGGATGCTTTGCTCACACCCTAAATTTAATTACTTTAACCGTAGCTCAGCTGGTCTTAAGAAGTTGGAGGAGATGCAGGTATTGCTTCAATTGCCACAGCTTAAAATTAAGCAAGACGTCCCAACACGCTACTTTCAAAATGTTCGAGCGTCTGTTACTTTTAAAAGACGCAGTTATGGCCACGCTATCGACTCTGAGAATAGACTTGCTACTTTCTTCAGAGGATTGGGAAGTTATTGAAGGAGTGCTTCCAGTACTGAAGACATTTTTCCAAATAACTACGGAAATCTCCTTTGAATCAAACGTGACACTGTCGAAAGTTATTGTGCTATCTGGCATTTTGAAAGATAAGATTGCGAGCATGATGACATTAGCCACAAACAAAGAAATTGTGAGTTTCATTGAGTGCATTCAACATGAAACAAATTCTCGCTTTCATGATTATGAATCGAATGAATTGTACGCTGAAAGCACTATATTGGACCACAGATTCAAAGGACGAGTGTTTAAATCAGAAGACGAGTACAAAAAGGTACTAGATGGTTTAAAAAATAAATTAATGCCAATGGGGTTGGCCACTGCTCAGTCTGAATCTGTCGTAACAGATAGTGCCTGCCAGACCAAGCACAGTGAAGACGATGACATTTGGAATGATTTTGACAACAGCTTCCAAAAAGTCAATAAACCGACCAACAGCACTGACGCAGTCATTAGAGAATTGGACAAATACCTAGCCGAGGAATATGTTATGCGAAAAGATGATCCTTTGGTTTAATGGCATCTGCGTAAATTGCAATATCCTCTCTTATACTCGTATATGCTGAGTAGGCTTTGCGAAGTCGCCACATCTGTGCCATGTGAGCGTATATTTTCAGGAGCAGGAGAAGCAGTTCGCAAGAGGCGTACACTTCTAAAACCCTCAAATGTGGAAAATCTTTTGTTTTTGCACAGCAATTTGTAAATACAATGTACGTATACTTATATTTTCTTAAATTGTGTATTAACAGCGTTTTCGTGTTATAGCGCTCATTAAACCATCCAAGAAGGATTTCATTTACTTTTTTTTTTGGAAAGAATGCGCAATGGATGTTGTTTTTAGTTTCAACTGATGTTGAACACTACTGCGAAGATGTCGGTAAGTTTAAAAACAAAAAAAGTTAGACATGATTATTAAATATTATTAAGCTCGTGCTATATTTCATGTCGTCTGCATCATAAATGGCGGACTCCTGCCGAGATTGGCCTTTCCATGAAGTCATAGGGTACAGTTTCAGAACTAGCTATGGCATAGAGCTGAAGATGCTGATGAAGCAAAAGTGCAACTCTACTCCTTATGCATCAAAAATAAACGGAAGAATTGTTCAGCATGAATAAATTTTTTTTGAGAACAAGTCCCAACGGTCGCTTGCGTTCTGAAGGGAACGAAGGAATTCGTGATTAACTATTATTTTAATTTTGTTATTTTGGTTTAATCGTAATGAAACTAATTTTTTTATATTTTTCATGTTATAACTTATAAGTAATGAAAAATAGTATATGAAATAATACATATATATAAAATTGAAACTCATATATATGCATATACATGTATAAAGGGTTTTTGGGGGTGGGTGGGGGGGGGGGAAGGGGTTTTTAAAAGGGGGGGCTAAAAATAATTTTATTAAAAAAAAAAAAAAAAGGGGGAGAAAGTAAAGGAAAAAAAAAGGGAGCAAGTGAACAAGAACAACTGAACAAGAACAAGTGAACAAGAACAAGTGAGCAAGTGAACAAGTGAGCAAGTGAGCAAGTGAGCAAGTGAGCAAGTGAGCAAGTGAGCAAGTGAGCAAGTGAGCAAGTGAACAAGTGAACAAGTGAACAAGAACAAGTGAGCAAGTGAACAAGTGAGCAAACTTTTTTTTTTTTTTTTTTATTCAACGGTAATTTAGTACAAGATACTTTTACATATACATATACAGGGGGTGGGGGGAATTACTGGGCTTGCGGTACTGCCATGAAGCATTGCTTCGCAAGACCAGCTGCTCTTTTTGGACGACCAGGTTTTAGGACTGCCCGTTGCGTATGCGTTCTAGACGCCTCAGCTCACGCGTAATTTCCGTCGCCATTAGGCAAACCGCTGTCCATTTGGTTAGTTAAGGCAGCAGACTTTGTTCGCTTATCAACTCTATAGTGTTGTTAGTAAAAAATCTTAGATAACTGTTCTTGGCTAATTAGGGTATGTAAAATCACAAAATATATTTAATTTTTAAAAATAATTTGTAAAATAAGTTGATTTTATGCCAAACAAATTGACTTTTTTCCCATAGTGCGCTGGCCAGGTTTAAGCGTTTATTGGGTTTGTGGGCGTTAGAGTGTGCGTGGCAATTTTTTACTTGGCCAATCGATAGGTATTGACGAAGCGAATACATATCAGTTACTATTTTCATAATAGCTTCAAAACTGTGGGCGTTAGAGGGGGCTTGTGGGCGTTAGAGGGGGCTTGTGGGCGTTAGAGGGGGCGTAGCACCTTTTTGAAACAAACTTGCGCTGCGTAGTAGCTCCTAGAATATTCATGCAAAATGCCAATCTTCTAGCTTTTATAGTTTCCGAGATCTCAGCGTTCATACGGACAGACAGACGGACAGTCGGACATGGCTAGATTGACTCGGCTAGTGATCCTGATCAAGAATATATATACTTTATGGGGTCGGAAACGCTTCCTTCTAGCTGTTACATACTTTTGCACGAATACAATATACCCTTTTACTCTTCGAGTAACGGGTGTAATAATTGGTGTTGGCAGCCGGGTCACTAAATAAAATAACAACAAAAGGGTCTTTAGATCTGAAAGCTCATAATAATTTATACATTTTTATTTGTATTTTTTTTAAGTCAATGAAATCTAGCTATAACAAAAAAACGCCAGAAATGAAACAATTTTTGAACTTTTACAGGTTGTACCTCCATTAATTGCGACCCCAATTGCGAGTAATAGCTTTTCGGAAAGATCTGTTAGATTTTATAAAAGAAGTGTCGAAAATCTAGATTTCAGAACGGTTTCTTGGAAATTTTTTTTTAATTTTTTCAGCGTGATGAGCAACTCAAAACTAATAGAAAAAAATTGGTCTCTGCGTTTATCTCGAAAACAAATTTAAAGTTGTAAACTAGTGTTACTTATCAACAAAAAATACAGGGACAATTAACAAGGGGAAAAAGATAGAACAAGGTAGCAATGCCAGGATCAACAGGATTTGTTTTAAAGGATCGATTAAATGAAATCCAGGCTAAAACTATCCTTCTTTTGGCATTCTCTTTATAGACTTATACAGGTGACGAATGCACGATAAACTCGAGCTGCACGGTCACACTTATAAACGCGAACACACCAACCGATTGTACAAATTATTCGCTCACAAACGGGTAAAATCTTCAAGCCGAACGATCACAAACGATCATTCATGAGACGATGGCATTCGCTCACCGGTCATTTTGTTTCACTCAGCCGAAGCGATTAATCAAAACGGATACGAGTAAGTGATCAGATGTATCCGAAAATTATTAACTCGTTGCAGCTCTCTGGTACTGACGATAGTGCATCAACGTCCAAGAATAAAACAAGAGAACGCTATTGTCGGGTTTGTGTCCCGATTATCTAATACCCGTCACTCAGATAAAGGGAAAGCGAGGGAGATGGATATATACCATTTTTTTGATTGCGCATAACTTATTAACGAATGGTCCGATTTAAAAAAATGTCTTCTACATTTCGAAATCCTTAAAGGTGTAGGCGCCAGACAAATTTTAAAATCGTTAGTGAGCGATTGTGGGCATTAGAGGGAGCGTGGCGCTCGGCTGAATTAAACTTGGGATGCGTAGGAAGCCCAAGAATATGTGTGGGAAAGCTCAACCTTCTAGCTTTTGTAGTTTCCGAGATCTCAGCGTTCATACGAACAGACAGACGGACATGGCTAGATCGACTCGTCTAGTGACCGTTAGGTCACTAGCTAGCTGTAACATACTTTTGCACGAATACAATATACCCTTTTACTCTACGAGTACCTAACGGGTATAAAGATAGGAAAATAATATTTTAATTTTTATTAAATTTTTTATTAACATTTAGAATTATTATTAAAATTGTATATTACTAAAACCGAACCTCTAACATAAAACTACATTTTGTGTGAATTGGTTTAAATTGCGATATATAAAACATATTTAAATGAAGAAAACCAGCTAATACTCAGCTTATGCCTGCCGCCAAATACTGATTTTTGTAATAATATGCACATACACCTACTACAATAGAAACCGCAGTAGTTAATATCACCGACTTTGAAGTAAATATATTTGGAAGCCATTGACTTATGCTATGGAGTCGATTTGCTGTGGCTGGCCTAGAATTATTCCTCCGTCTTTTCATGATCATTTTTTCCTCGGCTTGACGCTGTTTTTTCCTATTGCACAAAAAATTTTATATATTTTTTTTAAATACCATAATTTTATTGTACTTACTCTTGAAAAATTAGATCTTCAACATCTTTTTCAATTTCTGTTAAGCTATACTTTTGAAACAGCTTGCTAGAAGTTTTCAAAAGCTCTTCAAATGGTAAATCTTCTGGTAGCTAAAAAAAAATTAGTCATAAAATAGACAAGAAAGGAAGCTAGCTTCGGCCAGCCGAAGCTTATATACCCTTGCAGATAATTCTTATTAATTTACAAATCGCAAAAATGTTAATTTTCCTATTATTTCTCATTAATTTTGAATTTGTTTCAATGGCAGCTCTATGATATAGTAGTTCGATTTTAATAAAATTAAAATCGAAATTCGAAAATATTTGAAAAGAGTTATATCCTAGAGTAGAAGAGAATTTAATAAAAACCAACGAAGCAATAATTTATTTCCTATTATATTCCCATTAATTTTCCGATCGTTCCTATGGCAGTTATATGATATAGTCGTCCGATTTTGAAAAAATTTTATTCGAAATTCAGAATTAGATAAAAAATGACATTTCCAAAAGAAGGATGTTATAGGGTCAAAAACACCCAAGATATAATTTTTTTTACATTTTTTTCCCCGATTGTTCCTATGAGAGCTATATGATATAGTTGTCCGATCCGGCTCGTTCCGACTTATATACTACCTGCAATAGAAAGAAGACTTTTGGGAAAGTTTTGTCCCGATAGCTTGACAACTGAGAGACTAGTTTGCGTAGAAACGGACGGACAGACGGACATGGCTAGATCGACTCGCCTAGTGATGCTGATCAAGAATATATATACTTTATGGGGTCGGAAACGTCTCCTTCACTGCGTTGCAAACTTCTGACTGAAATCATAATACCCTCTGCAAGGGTATAAATATAATATTATTATTATAATCATATTATACCGTTGATAAAAGACAATGCACTGATGCCATATCACAGTCCTCCTTCAGTATTTCATTTGATCGATACAGTAGAATCGCAGCTGTTACAAATATGGGTGTATAAATGGGTGATGCTAAAAAATAGTCATATAAACGGACTACAGCTTTGTAGGAATTTAAACTATGTCCAAACCATGTCAAATACCATGGCAACGCGAACAAAGTCCCTACCGAAGAGTTTTGTAAAAACTTATAAAGTTCTGGATTTTCAAACTTTATGACAGGCCAAATAAACATAAGCCTTCTCTGGGTGGCCTCCATTGTCTCTTGCATACATTCCGAAAAATGCGTAGTCGAGAGCTGCTCCATTATAGCATAAGCGATTTGTTCACCAACTACCAATAGAAATGTGACTGCCACATCGTGATAGCCTTGATAATATCGCAAATTAGGATACTTTTGGATCACCCGTAAAATAAGAACAGTAAGTTGGTCTTGCAGTGCAATGCGTTGTTCGTACGGAATACCAGGTGGAAATCTCTTTAAAGAGCGATTTACATCTAATACTACCTGATTATATTCAGGGTGGTATTGCAACTCTTCGAGAGATGGAGCTTGTTCTAAATCGTTCACGTCGACACCTGCCAGCTGGGGCCATAAAATTTTGCGCAAATGGTCGTTGACCAATCCGTAAGGCGTCAGTGATAACTTTACAAGCACATCCAAAGGAAGATTTTGTTCGGTGTATTCTTTAATGAATTCTTCTATCTCCCGTCGTTTTCTGATTTCACCATCACTTTCGGGAGCTTTAAGTAAGTTGTTTTTTAATGATTTCAACATGCATTACTATTTTACTCACATTTATCAAAATTAAGTGGCCGCTGATTATCAACAATACTCATTTTTTAAATAAAATTCTAAAGAAATTGAACATGTATACAAAAAAGTTTAGTTAAAAATGTCACAAAGACCATTCTTGCTGTAAGTTTTTTAAAGCGAAATCGAAACGATGAGCAAAAAATCATAATATATTGAATTTGCTGAAAATTCGACAATTATAATTTGTGTCGTCAATTATATAATATTGTATTTGCACAGCGGCCCATCCCCTATTCAGTGCCGTGCATATGTGCATATGAAGGCAATTGTATAAAGGCATATACCCCCTGCTCACAGCCGCTTAAACTCATTGTTGCCATTTTATATTCTGTTCAAACAGAGGGGGTTTTCCACTTCAGAGACCAAATTTTGCGTTTCCGTATAGAAGAATGGGTCTTACTATTAATGCGTAGAGTGCGGGTAGATTTTGCTAAACGTTCGCTTTAGCGGAAAGAGGGATTTTATATGCAGTAATCCAGAATTTTTATTTAGTATTTTTATCGAGCTGAGATGATTTTAAAATATGGCCATATCAATGCGGCAACCCTCTTTTTATACCCGTTAATCATAGAGTAAATGGATATATTGTATTCGTGCAAAAGTATGTAACAGCTAGAAGGAAGCGTTTCCGGCCCCATAAAATATATGGGCAATTCTTAGTGTCTCTTGTTCATTCTTCTTTAATATGTATTTGGTTTGCTTACAAAATGTTGAGTGGTTATTTTTTTATTGGCACACGGTACATGTTGCACGCGACAGTTTTTTCCGTCATTTTAGGTGGTTTTTCTGTAACCTTAACGTCAAAAAAACCGTGTGAGAGCCACTTAAAAAAAAAAACGAAAAAATACCAAAAAATTACTTTTTTGTCCATATAACAGGTATTGTCGTGGAAAATTATCCAAATAACGTAGCTTAGTTGATGAATCATCTAACTAGAATCAAATATCAGTGCAAAATCATATATAAATATGTTTTTTTTTTTCAAGTTTTACGCTTTTTGGCTTGGTTGACATCCCCAGCGATTTGCCCATATATATTCTTGATCAGGGTCACTAGCCGAGTCGATCTAGCCATGTCCGTCTGTCTGTCTGTATGAACGTTGAGATCTCGGAAACTACAAAAGCTAGAACGTTGAGATTTCCAACACATGTTCTATAGTGCTCTCTCTATTTTTTCTTTAAGTGTACAGTTCCACTTTTGTTCCAAAGCCCCTTGCTTTCAATACACTTTAACACTTGCCTAATAGCTATTTTGTCAATACCACCACTTTTTACTCGTATATTCGCGTTGAAAAGAAAATACAAAATCATTTTTACACTGCGAACGAAAGACACAATTTCAGAAAAATCTGTCTTTCTAGGCCGATTTCGAGAAAAAAAAATGGATTTTAATAGACCGTAGATGATCAATCGATACCGTTTTTTAAGTATATAAGTACGATTTCGTCCAAAGGGCAAGTCTGAAAAAATAATATTATATGTTTCCCAAAAAGCCCCGAGTTTAACGGATTTTATCCCACTGGCTTCGAAGTGGGATCTTTCTTGAGGAAACAGTTGTGAATTCTTTTCATTGATTTATAACATTTTTACAAAGCGTATACGAATTTTTTTTATTAGGGGAGAGTGGGGCAATTTCGTCAGCATTTTTTCAAAGCTATTTTCCATCTTGAGACACGTTATCATATTTCTATTTTTATTGTTAAAAGCGGTTAGCACCAAGCTTTAAAATGTTACATTCCCCTTTTTTTTATATTACCTTGGTGATTTATAAAAAATTAAAAAGCGTTTCCGACCCCATAAAGTATATATTTTCTTGATCAGAGTCACTAGCCGAGTCGATCTAGCCATGTCCGTCTGTATAAACGCTGAGATCTCGGAAACTACAACAGCTAGAAGGTTGAGATTTCCCACACATATTCTTGGGCTTCCTACGCAGCGCAAGTTTATTTCAGCCAGGCGCCATGCCCCCTCTAACGCCCACAATTTCCCACTAACGATATTAAAATGTGTCCTGCGCCCACATCTTTAAAGATTTTTAAAATTAAATTAACAATTTACCGATATTGGAAAAATATAATATTTTTTTTTGTTACGATTGTGGGCTTTACTTCCAAAGTAATGGAATGTTTTCTGCAGTATTGAAACTCTCCAATCGCAACAAAAAAATGATTATATTTTTCTAAATACAGTAAGCTGTGTATTTCACCAAGCCACTGGATCGATTTGGATAAATTATGCATAAAAAAAATCAGGAGGGCAAGTCCAATTATGGGGTTCATAAATTTTAATTGAAAATTCGCTATAAAAATATATTTATTTTCGATATTGGGCGCTAAAAAGTTGGCAATTGGCTCATTTGCCGATATATCGATATATGTACCTAGATTTTGGTTTATGTCATGGCTTCGTACGCTGTCTCGCTGGTTGGATAGTGTGACCGCGTGAAAAGCCTAATTTTAATGACTTGAACTCTCGAAATCTGTGGGTTTGATTTCGCTGAAATTAACGCAGAAATTGCTCAAAATCTTGCCCTTTCTGTTGGTATACCGTGCAAATTGGCACAACCTCTGTGAGGGGAGCAGTTAACCTAATGGTGGATACACGATTTTCCAAATGCATTTTTGAAACACTTGCAGACCTCGGATTTGGCCCCAACCTATTTAGATCGATAAATATTTAAATAAAATAAAAACACCTCTTAACGAGGTAAAAAACTAGTGACGACCGCACCTTCAACATACAAAAGTTCTGATATCAACATTTGTGACGAAAACTTATTACACTCGTCATTAAATAGACTTTCTAATATTTTCTCATTCGGCCCGCCCTAGCAAACTATTCCAGCCTTTTTCCCTTTACAGGCATTTTCTATTGCAGCGTGACGAATGAGAAAAGATTAAAAAGTCTATTTAATGACGAGTGTAATAATTTTTCGTCACAAATGTTGATATCAGAACTTTTGTATGTTGAAGGTGCGGTCGTCACTAGTTTTTTACCTCGTTAAGAGGTGTTTTTATTTGATATCAGAAGTTTTTGTTTGTTTACATTTGCTCTCATAGGAGCTAATATATACATTTAAATTTAAATTGGTCAATCATAATTTTTAAACTATTGTATTTTAACAAATTAAGTTAAAAAGGCGTTGAAGTATTTCAAAATACCTTTTAAACGAGGTATAGCACATGTCTGTACCTTTAGTAGTGTAGAACTTACAAACTAACGAAATTTAGCTATTTTTAGCTTTTTCCCGCTAAAGTAGCGGCTTTTTCCAAAAGTCGTAGAACAAAAGATTCCTATATGGAACTCTTAAGTGCAAATTTACTGATTTCATGACCCTAAAATACAGTTCGGATACCCTCCCACAAAATTCAATACTCAGGGAGCGTTAATTGTTCGAGCTGGCAAAAGTGGCTATTTTCGTATAAAAATAACTTTTAAACGTGACTTTTTACAGTAATGTGTTATATACCAAAATTTAAGGAATCTCAAGGGCTATACAGTTTAAGGTTTTAAAGAAAATCGTTAGAGCCGTTTTTGAGAAAAATAAAAAAAGCTAAAAAAAAAGTTTTAAAAAATTGTCTTTTGTTCATATTTTTTTAAGTATTACATTTACACAGATTGCATATAGAAGGCGTTTATAGCATTTAAAAATACCTTTCAAACGAGATGCAGCACAAGCCTGTAGCTTTAGTAGTATAGAAGTTACGGCTTTCCGAATTTTAGCTATTTATAGCTGTTTTCCCGCTAAACTAGCGAGTTTTTCCAAAAGTGGTAGAACAAAAGTTTTTTATATCGATGTGATCAACGTCATATCAAATTTTCAAAACTTAAAAAACATGTTTTGGACAAACTGACAAACTGACAAACAGAATTAAATTTTCATTTTGGGAAGACGAAGGAAATCTTATTTTGGCTATAACTTTTGAACGGAGCGTCGGATTTTGATAAATGACCCCTCATTCGACGGGTATTTTTAAAAGGAATACAATTAAAACATTGCGAGGGGGCATTTATCCCCAGCGGCCCCAACAGCTCCAAATTTCGATATTTTCACTTTTTCACTTTCACCGCTCTCTCTTCCAAGCCAATTGATTTTCTTAAAGTCTTGGTATGCAATCCTGTTAGTTTTCGCAATACCTTTCGATAGGTGTATAATTCATTATGATCGGACCATCACAGTAGATTTTCATTTCTTCGTGTATATATAGTAGTCGCCTTCGCACACTCTCCTGGTGCGCTTCGTCACTTCATGGACTGCCGTCCATAGTGATTCTAAACAATTTTGCATCAAACATTTTTCAATTCGGACCCCAAATAGCGAGAAAATTTAAAAAATTAAAATGGCCCCAGTGTTCCACATTCCACCGTTCCACTGGTCGACGCTATTTTGACGTACAGTCAACGTCCGTCAAAATTGGATGGCGGACTAACTGGGAAATTTTCGGAACGGCAAAACCTTACGGACCATGCGTTCAACGGATGGTAGATGGTGGATAAAGCTCTGTGGGAAGACCCTTTTAGATGCTCAGTACGACGAAAACTGCTAGCTAAGCATAGGAGTAAGCGAGAGGCAAATAGGTAACTAACGCCTTTATCTAGGACTTTTTTCCACCGCGGTACTAAGTTAAGCTAAAGAAATAAGCCTAGTACTCAGTACGGCTAAGAGTTTTACTAGTCGAAAAATATTTATCTTTTGGTGTGACCGAAGTTTTCGGAGTTCATCCGCAATGCATGTAGAATGGTCTTACTCTTAGCAAGCAAATTAACTGGCGCCAATTTTGAAATATTACAAAATGATTAGCCGACCTAGGTCGCAAGCTTTAAATTTGCTGTTGGAATGAGGATATGTATTGCTACAACTCCTACAGGCAGTTTTCCATTGGTTTTTGGGGTTCTCATTCTATTTATAATATGTTATTGGCATACCGCTTCTGCACAAACACAGCCAAAGATCAAATTTTTTTATTCTTTGGGCCGCGGCTAAAGGCGTTCATCAGAATTCATCCGCTAAATCTAGTATTTTAGTGGTATTTTCTTACTATTTCCTTAGCTCAACTGAGTACCGAGGTGGGAAAAAGTCCCCGGCTAAGGGCTTTAGCTACCTATTTGCCTCTCGCTTACTCCTATGCTTAGCTAGCAGTTTTCGTCGTACTGAGTACTAGGCTATAGCAAGGAAATATCAAAAAAATACTAGATTTAGGGGACGAATTCCA